CTTTACCATTAACATCATGAGACATTATTGTTTATAAGCAGCTGTTAGAGGCTTTAGTACCCCACCTATCTTTGGTTCCCTGGGTAGAGGCATACTGATTTACCTAGTGTCTGCTGTGACAGCTGGATACTTGATGATGGAGGCCGAGCCGCTCTGCACAGTGGAGGTGTTTACATGCTCAGCATTATTATTGGGTTGTACAGTGTACACGAGAGAGCTAGCACGCACTCTCACATCATTTAAAACTATAAATTCACTCTAGCGATTCCATTCGGAAACCTGAATTTTACAAGGGCAGGTCAAAAAGTATTGCCACAAGGCTCCAGTTCATACACGCACAGGTTTATTCCATACAAAATGTGCCTACTTAGGGCACAGCAGTCTGTGAATGGCTATAGGTAAGCTCTCTAATACATCTTGCTGAATGTAATAAATTCAGGGGTCTGGAGGTTTAGTGGTGAGAGATGTACTTCTTACAATAACTGATCTTTGGGGACAAGAGGTTCATAGTCCTTTAACGTAACAATAAAGCAGTCTGCTGTGGACTCATGTCCAAATCAAAAGTATATTCAAAATACATACATATATATATATATATATATCTTCCATTCTTGCTTACCTCTCATCTTCCTTTATCTCCCAAACTCCTTTTACATTTGCTTAGTTGACAGCTTCTCATTCATCCCTGTCTACATCATCATCATCATCACATTACCAGATAACTTTCCTACATCTTCAACCTCTTTTTTGTAAAATCTTTCCACTTCCTTACCTAGGATCTTTCCTAGAGATATTTCTTCCCACAAGATGAAGTTTATTTCATTGGCCACACACATTTTGCTGCTTCAAATGTTAGACTTGATTTTGGATACATGAACCTGCCGATTCCAAAAATGGCACCAGCTTTCCCCGATCAGCTCTAGTTTGTGAGATGCAGAACATATGCCATACACCATCTTTCACTCAGCTCACCCTTTACAAAATCAAGATAGTTTAATGTAGCACTAGCTACCCTGAGATAGAAGTGTATGCTGGCCTTATTTAAAATAGTGTTGTACTAAATATTTAGGTCAAATTACATTTCACATGGCATCCTTTGATCCAAAGATATATTTGAATAGTACAAATTACATGAACTTCAAATTTTCCCCAAGTATCACTTCACCTTTATTAGGAACTGAATAACAGGCAGCCCCAATTTTTTTGGCTTAAAAACAGGCCAGAAATCAGAGTTACTGTACGACAAAGAGCCCTGATGGTGTAGTGGGTTATGTTTGACTGCTAACCACAAGGTCAGTTGTAAGATAAAGATGAGGCTTTCCGCTCCCATAAAGATTTACAGCCTCCGAAACTCCTAGAAGCTCCACTGTGCGGTAGGGTTGCTCTGATCAACCAACTGACTGGTAGTGAGTTTGGTACAATAAATACCCAAATGCTCTGAAACCCAAAATGGGTCTTCCAGTCTTGTTATAAGATAGCACAACTTCTCTACATAAGCACAGAAACTCTTAAAAGGCAGAATTATAAAAAAGATTGCAGTCTACTTCACCTCTAACATTTAACATGAATTGTCCATTGACTTCTATGTATTAAAAATGTACTCTGAAATGTTGACTGGAGAAAAATTTAGATCTTCAAAATACTTATGAAAATTGTTATAATACAAAAAAATGTTATAATCTTACATTTTCAGCACTCTGAATTACCCTCACACATTCCATATATGTGCCTTCTCAATTTTATTTTCCACTCTTCTCAAGCTGTGTTCTGGCTTTTCAGACAGTATCCGACTTGTGTATACTGTGCAAAGCCTCGAACACCAAAAGAGACACACTACTAGCTAACCAATTCTAACTTATAGTAACCCTGCAGTACAAAGGACTGCCACTTTGGGGTTCCACACCCCTAACTCCTTTAAAAGATGCAGTCACTGGTGGATTTGAACCACCGACTTTATGATTGGTAGCTCAATGCATAAAACCACCAACCACCATGCGGCCATATATATCTTGCCTTGAGAGTGCCTTAACTAATTTTTTTCAAATATTTACCTTTTTTGTCTTATCCTGTAATTCTGGGGTCTGAATTCTTCTCATATTTAAAACTAGGTTGATAAATTAAGGCATTCATATAAGAGCTGAAAACAGAGAACATATCTAAGAAACTAGGCAGACAGCAGATGCTGTCTATCCAAGCCAATTTTCTGAATCAGCACCCCAAATAATCCCAGGAACAGGTCTAAAACCAAGAGCAAGAAAAAAATTTTTTTGCTTTGGGTTATTATTCCAGTGGGTTCAGGTAGATGACAAAGCTCATATAAAGGACCACTTTCTAAAGCCGCAGGAGGCACACTAACGTGTGGTTTTTCCATACAACTTCCATCACACTTTCCCTCCTCTGACATCATAGTGACCAATACTAGCTTTAGCAGATCTCTGACAGTCTAATCAATTCTACTTAGGAAAGATTTCTCACTATACCCCTAGGGCACCACTTTTTTGCTTTCCTCCCTTTTTAGTCGGCTTTGTTGATTCATCTTCCTACCTTTGGACCCTGGAGTATATATCTAGAAACAGTCCTTTTCCCCAAGGACACTTACTCCCTAGACTCCCAAGGCCTGGATCTTACTCAACCAACAAGGCTGAGATCACAAAATAGCTATTTATACTGAGGACAATTTTATCTCCAGCCCCAACCTCCTCTGCATTCCCAGTTAGTTTATATAAAGGCCTAGTAGTCATCTGGACTCAGGCACCTCAAACTTACCATTTCAAACTGATCTTCCCCAAACCTGTTTTACGTCTTCCATTTCTCATAAACAGCAATTCTATTCATCCTGCTCAGGCCCAAACCCTCGGAGTTATCTTGGACTCCTTATTTTCCTCTTTCATTTAGTCCTTAAACAAATCATATCAGCCTTTACCATTTCAACCTCCGCCCAAGTCATGGTCATTTGCCTTAAAACTATCCAAATAGCCTGGTTTTTTCCCATTCTTGACCCACTAAAATGTTTTGCTCACAAGGACCAGTGAACTTTTAAAACCCAATCCATGTCACTCCATTAACCTCACTCAAAATAGAATTCTGTCCTGTAATACAGATCCTAACTCACTATTCCACTTTACCATCCTAGGTTCCAGGTATTCTCCACAGAGCCTGTTCAGCTAACAAGAAAATCCCAGTGCCACCGAGTCAATTCCACTCAGCCACTCATTTCCGTCTCCATGGAGACAGCCTGAGCTTTCTCCTGAGAGGCTGGCTTTTAACTCACTCAACAACGCCACCTTCATTAGCTCAACTCAAATGTGAGCCACTTCCTTCTCTTCAAAGCAGGTATACTGCTGCCCACAAATTCATGACAGTCTTTGTACTTCCCAAACTTGAATGTTCACGCAGACTGACTCCTTATGTTGTAGAACCAGATTGTGCATTTCTAATACATCCAAGCACCTTTTGGAGAAGATGCTAGGTTAGATTCATTGCTAAACTTATTCCTAATCACCTACATTTATGTTGTTGGGTAACGATACATCATCTTTTTAGTGGACAGGCTTGGTTTCTAAGCATTTCATATGCGACCTGCCTACCCACCCCCTTCAATTGCTCCACAATTACTCTTCTCAGCAAATTATCTTGTCAGGTGTATAGTATGTTGGCTGACGAATAGCAACTCACATTCCCACATGCTAATTTTGAAGACCCAGCGACCAATAAACCCTTCCACAAGAGAAATTTAACATTTCTCTGTGCCATAACCCAAAACCATAGCGTCTTTTCCACAAATACCCAGGTTTTAATGATTGCATTCATTTCCAAGAGCTTTTATGTTTGTACTGTCCATTTCACTTTAGAGGGCGCTCATTGTCCTCAGAAAATTCAACATGCTTTTGTACACATACATTTCACATTAAAGTACCAAAAAATGCTATCAAAAAACTGCTGAGTAGACTGACTCCTGAGGACTCTTAGACTGAATAAGCTGATCCCATGCGCTGGCAGTTTCAAATGACTATTGTTAACCACTAAGCACACACTACACAAATATTCAAAGCATCATGAACTACCTAAAGAACTAATATGCATGCCTTGCAAGTATAGCAAGAATGTTCCTCAGAATAGTGGCATTTCATTTGACTTTGGACATACGCTCAGAAAAGGCAGACCCACAACATGGATAGACCGTGTATTGAGGATGGCACAGGACCAAGCCGTTTCATTCTGTTGCACAAAGTTGCTGAGTTTAAACTAAGCCATCAGCACCTAACAGTAAAAATTTTCCAAGTTAAAAGTTAAAATTGCAATCCATCAAAAACTCGATATGAAAAATTAGGAGCTGATGCAGGGGCTTTAGTGGAGAGCAATGTTTTGAGGATGATGAGGGCAATGAATGTACAAATGTGCTTTACAAAATTGATGTATGGATTGTGGTAAGAGTTGTACGAGCCACCAATAAAATGCTTTAAAAAAAACACTTCACTATGAATACTTTTATAAGGGCCTAGAGAAAACAAGTGAAGAAAACTGGAAGGACAAAAACCAGCAGAAACTTGATGGGACCTAGCTATCACTGCCAACTGCTCTGAAAGGGACCCAAAAGGTGGTCACGGAGAGGAAAAAGTACAACTAAAATCACTAAGATTATACTATGGCCCTTTGTCACCCTGTTAGTCTGAAAATGAATTCACCCCGACTCAGTCCTCATCCACACAATAGAAGCGGTGCTACGATCAAGTTAACTCCAGAGCAAAAACACTTCAGAACACCCTCACACTCACCCAAGGGCAGAGCTCTGAGAGTTGGGAAAGAATGGGAACCATCAAAAACAAGGGTAAAAGAAGTTACCTTCTGGGCGTTGCAGTCAATGACATGAAGCAAAATCAGTGTCAATTATTGAAATTTAAAACTTATCTGCTTTGTAAAGCTTCACCTAATTACAATAAAAAGAGCACAATAATACAATTTGACATTTTCATAATCAATTAATGATTCTAGGCACAACATTCAGGCTTGAATTTTTATTTTATGTACAAATCGTTGGCATTGTTTCTTCTTTTGGGTAGCGGTCTTGGATTGTCCATCCAAAGATAACTTAGTCCAGCTAGGGAAAAAAAATAAAAAAAGAATTATCTTAAACTTTTATTTTCAAGATTAGGGCCCCAAAACCTAAACCTAGAAATTGATCCACCCAAACTACCTAGCAAGACCTAAGTAGTTCAAGTATTTACTAAACATAAGCTGTTCTCCATTCACATTTTATTTTAGATTAGGCCCAGGACCTCCAATATTCCTTTCTCCCTTTAAACTAAAAGGAGAAATATACTCACTTTAAATATTTCATGCAGTACTAAGAAATATTCCCAATGAAAAATCTCCTTAAAACATTAAGCAAAAGCAGTTTTAAGGCTCTCAACTCTAATTCCCACTACTATGTGGCAGTTAACACCTTTTTTTAAAGGCTCACAAATAAACACATTTAATCTATGAGAAACTAGGGACCCCATGCTCGGAAGAGAGCCAGGCTGCATTCACCTTTGTTATGACCTCCCTGTTTAGTTAGTTGAAATCCTACCAAATTATGTGGTTGACAGTGTAACCAAACGGTATCCTTCTCTAACTAGCAGGTTATACTCAACATTCTAAATAAAATTACTGTAAATCTATAAAGGTAGTAACTGGAATGAAGGTGGTCAGGGGCGTGGCACAGAAAGATTGGGTGCAAATCGGGAACTAATAATTGAACACAAGAAAATGCTCTAAAATTGACTGTGGCAGTGATTGCACTTGTTAAATGACTCAACTATTGAACTGTATGGTGTGAATTATGCCAATAATTGTTTTAGAAAAATCAAGTATGAACCAGAAGGCTGGTGGCTTTATCCCAAGGAACCACTGAGGAATTGTTTCCCCTTTAAAACCTGGGCTCGAAGTGGCCTTCTCGCTCGCGTCCTGAAACCTAACACCAACCCTCAAGCTCATTTCAAAATTCGACATTTCGAGTCGTAAGAAACAGATGTCTGGCTGGGCAGTATCGACGAATTAAATTTAGTGGCTTCTGAACAGTTACTTTTACCCAGCATTTTAGAATGTTCGCCTGACGGCTAAGAGACTAGGAACTTTCTAGGCCGTCGCTACCACCGCCTCCAGTCTATGAAGTTGGCTGGGAAAGGACGCGAAACCGCCCGCCTCTGAGACCCAGCCTTGCTAGTTACAAGCGACAGGGGCTCGGTCGGGAGCGGACCCCAGGAAGGCACCCTCTCTCCGCGCCCGGAAGCTGGAGCGCATGGCGCCCGCCGACGGGTACCTTGATAAAGCCGATGTCCTTCGCGTACTGACGGAAGCACTGACGGCACATATTGAGGCCGTATTTCCGGATCAGACCGTGCCGGTTCGAGCACACGCGGCTGCAAGAGAAAGGCGCGTTATTCGAGCCCCGGGAGGGCGCCCACCCACACCGCGCCTTCCCAGGCCCACCACAGGCCTGAAATGGCGGCGAGCCCGGCCCCGGCTCGGCCGGCCCCGGGTGCCACCCACGGGCGCCGCTGGGGGACATTTGCCGCAGCCGAGCGTCCAAAGCAACGCTTCCCCCAGTCTATCCTCGCTCCTCACCAAGAACGGGAGCCCTGGCCGAATTTTCGCGGGTGGCTCCAGTAGAGCTGCTGGTGGCCCATCTTGTTCCCAGGCTCTCTCCGAGGCAAAAGGAACGAGGTAGCGCGCGCATGCGCTCTTTTAGTTGTCGGGACTCGGCTTACCCAGGATGCACTGCTGCCATGTGGCACTTGCGCAGTGTCCTAGCGCTTCCTCGCTTTGAATGGAGCCCACGCTCTGTCGGAGCCAGGCCGGATGGTGACGTCACCGCACTCAGCCTCTAAGGCTCCTCTCGCGCTTGCAGCAACCGCCGGGCGTGGTGGCGCGCGCCTGTAGTCCCAGCTACTCGGGAGGCTGAGGCTGGAGGATCGCTTGAGTTCAGGAGTTCTGGGCTGCAGTGCGCTATGCCGATCGGGTGTCCGCACTAAGTTCGGCATCAATATGGTGACCTCCCGGGAGCGGGGGGCCACCAGGTTGCCTAAGGAGGGGTGAACCGGCCCAGGTCGGAAACGGAGCAGGTCAAAACTCCCGTGCTGATCAGTAGTGGGATCGCGCCTGTGAATAGTCACTGTACTCCAGCCTGGGCAACATAGCGAGACCCCGTCTCTTTTGATAAAATTATAGGCTATTTTATCAGAGTGCAGTTTCCATTTTTAGATATATTTCTACACTACAGTCGTTGAACCTTTAAATACTATTTTAATTGAAATTTTACATTTGGAAAAAAGAATTATGTTCAAACTCAGTACTGACACCTACTGGAGTAAACCTAGAAAAATAATATAAATTCACCTGTAGTAATCAGAATAAGCAGTAGGAGTGTATAGTTCATTAAACAGAATACAAGTTAAAGCTTTGTTTCTTAATTGACACATTCCCCAAAATGATGCATGATGGTCGGTAATGTAACACTTTCTACCTTTGACTCTTTGCATGCTTGAATATTTAAATGTAACACTTTCTACCTAATACACAAAAAAATTCATCCCCCAAAAAAAGGATGTGAAGTTCTTTGACTCTTTACATGCTTGAATATTTAAATTTTAGTTGACTAGACTGAGTAGGAAATAAATGTGTGGTAGATGTTACTGACAAAACAACTAATGAAAACCAAGTGCTATCTGATAATCTGCTGAGAGAGTTTCAATTCTACATGGTCATTTATAATTTCTCTAGATATTGTATGTGTTCTGGATTAAACACAGAACTATCCCAACATAGTTTTAACTATAAAATGTGACTGCAAACATCCAACAAAATTTTATACATAAAATTATACTTTTTCATTGAAATATAACACTGCTTATGAGAATACTGTTTCAATCTTCATTCCTAAATTAGACTAAATTAGACATTCTGTTAAATTATATTGGGAGCTATACATTTAAAAGCACTGAAGAACCCGATCCCTGCTCTAAATTTTTAAATATAATGAGGAAAACAAGATTATCTCAGAATTATCCCTTTCTGTCTTAACTTTTTGACTTAATGACATACTACGACTACAAAAAAAAAAAGCCAAATCCACTGCCATGAAGTTGGACTCACAGTGACAAGACAGGGTTTCCAAGCGAGGCTGTAAATCTTTATAGAAATACAGCGTCCACATCTTCCCCCATGGAAGGGCTGCTGGGCTGAAACCTGGGGTTCCAACTATCAGCCTTTTATTAGCAGCTAAACCATTGTGCCACCAGCTCCTCACATACAACCTAGAAAGCAAAATACTGTGGATTCAATGATGGATGTTGTGGTAGTTACATAATCTGCTGTCAATTTGAGGATTAAGACTGAAGGGGTGGAGTTTAGCCTGTCAGTCTAGTGGTAACTTGATGGCCTCATGTGGAGGCGCTAAGGGGATAAATAGCTCTTTGGAGGCATGACACGTGCTCACTCCCAGAGAGACGCTCTACTGACAAGACACGCGGCACTACGCTGATATAGACCTTGCCCTGGGAGCTGGAGGAGCTACGTGAAGACCCCTGCCAGCGCTGAGATGCTTACCCCCCACTGGATCCACAAGACTTTGCACCCACTGGCCTGTGATCTTCCTGCATTTGGCATCATTGCTTGTGTTTCATGAGTCTGAAGAGGACTATAGATTGGTATCGAACATATGGACTAATATTGGACTTGTGGACTTGACCTGGACTGCACTGGGCTGTTTTATCAAAAAAAAGCTCTTACACACATATGCGTATTTATGATTTTATTTCTCTAGTCTACCCAGACTAACACAGATGTGTTCATGAAGTACATAAGAGGAACAAGAAAGAGAGAGAAAAAATTCAAACATGTGGTACATTTGAAGGGCTTCTGAGGAAGACTTCGAACCACTGGATTTCTACAGGCAGCGCTTAATGAAAGTGAAAACCTAAAGCAATGAAGATTTTGAGTCAAAAGACGGGGTTGTGGGAAGTGATCAATCCTGTGTAATTAATGTAGATGGCACACTAACAGCCTAGTGATAAATAACAAAGGGTATTTTATTTTAAAGCCTGATTGTAAAGAGCTTGATATCAAATTTCTACAGCTTTCCTGACATTGATAGTACAAACGTGCAGTTTCCAAAATTCCCTCTCTGCCCCTGAAATGCCAGTCTAACATTGCCTTCTGCCTTCTCAGGCCTTTTGGTCTCCGTATTTCTAAAATAACAGAATTGTTCTGAGATCAATTCCACAAATACTTTCACTGCACTGTTATATAATCCCTTTGGACTAGAAAAGTGAACTACTAAAAAAGAAAGAGAGAAAGAATAACAAGAAGGAACTAGTTACATCACGGCATTTTTCTCTAAACTATTTTCCACTTCCAGTAGTTTTTATTGTTCATTCTAGCCTAAAGATTTTTAACCTTGATAGAACTATTGCAAAACGTCAATTAAGAAGTCATATTTCATCCAGTTTTAAGGTAATGTGGCACCATCTACCTCAGCCAATGGGATTATCCATTTCTTTTTCAGTAAGAAAGCTGAGAACATGGCTTTAAAAGTACATTTAAATTCAAGGATTATAAAGACCTTTTAGCTTAATCCTGTATTCTACTTACAGGTTCCAAGCATTCTTTTGCACGTGACTTTTAAATGTTTCTCCTCCTTGAACACCCCCCCCCACTAATTTAATATTGGGAGAAAGAGGAGGCTTTCCATTCCCATAAAGAGTTACAGTCTCGGACACCCACAGGGGCAGTTCTACCTTGTCCTATAGGGTCGCCATAAGTCAGCATCAACCTGATGGTAGTGAGTTTTAAAAATATATTTACTAGTTTTAATGCCATTTTTCTTTCTTTGTTTTTCAATGTTGTGAACTACAAGGAAGGAGGAAAGATATGTCTTAATCTCCTTGCCCAGATAACCTCTACTAATATTTCCTTTGTGAAAACATAAAACTTATGAGATTATAACATTCTAAGAGAGCAGAGTGTAGATCTTTTCTTTCTTTTCTTTTTTTTTGGTAGCTTAAGTACATTAGAATGATCTACAGGTAAAAAGAGTCCCATTTTCTTCCTCAACATGTTCTTACAATACTTTGTGATCATACTCACACCCAGAATTTTGTCTTTTCAAGATTTGTATCTCAAGGGTCGCATGGAGGAGACGAGCCAGTCAGGATGCAGTGTAGCAACGATGAAACATACAACTTTCCTCTAGTTCCTAAATGCTTCCTCCTCCCCACTATCATGATCCCAATTCTACCTTACAAATCTGGCTAAACTAGAGCATGTACATGGGGGTACAGATAAGAGATGGAAACATGGGGAATCCAGGACATAAAACCCCCTCAAGACCAATATTGAAAGTAGGATACCAGGAGGGGAAGGGGAAGGTGGAGGGAACAAGAGGGAACTGATCACAATGATCTACATATTACACCTTTCCAGGGAGATGGACAACAGAAAAGTGGGTGAAGGGAGACAACAGTGTGAGATGTGAAAAAATGATAATAATTTGTAAATTATCAAGGGTTCATGAGGGAAGAAGGGTGGGGAGGGAAGGGAAAAATGAGGAGCTGATACCAAGGGCTCAAGTATAAAGGAAATATTTTGAAAATGATTATGGCAATAAATGTACAAATGTGCTTGACACAATGGATGGATGGACCTTTTGCATCATAATTAAAACAAAAAATCAAAATGGTTCCCTGCTCCTTCCCATTTTCTTTGTGAGCATTGATTTCTTTTTTTTTTTTAGCATATTTCTGAGATGCACTGCAACTACTTTATTGAACGCGAAATGTATTCACAGACATTTGCAATTGTTACTATCTGCTGCCATCACAGTGACCTTCAAACTTGCAAATCATACCAGATAATCGTCTTAATAGGTATCCATTAACACATCCCCATTGTCTTTCAGAGAAGATCAAATTCTTTCAGTAAAGCATATAACACTGTCAAGAGTCTGTAACCATCAAAAGTTCATGGAAGCTGCTCATTAAATCTGCACGTGATAGTGGAGTCATACCACAATGTTTGCATTATGTGCACATTTTGTACACATTCAATCCTTTACTCACTTCTTGACATTTTAGACACGTCCTTTCCTCAAGAATCTGAGTTTCTTGTTGATGCCCGAATTCAACTCCTTTCTGATATAGCAGCTATTTATGCATAATATATGTGTCTTCTTTTTCTTTTTCTTTTTTTTTTGAGCATTGATTTCTTTTTGAGTCCAGTTTCCACCAACGTACCAACCCATCTCAGCAACGCGATTAACTACTGCCAAATTTGGAGTAATGATTTCCTGCTGTACTTTGCACACATGAGAGTATGTGTAAAGTCAGGAGGGAGGGGACATAGGGTGCAAAAGTTCGGGATCAAGATGACGACCTGAAAGGAGCACCTCTTCCAAATTTACATCCCAGGCATCTCAATTTCTGGCTTTTCCTTGTTCAATAAATGGAGTCTCAAAACTCTCGGCCATGGAGTCGATTCCGACTCAGAGACCTATATAGCTTTGTGGTTCCAAGACTGTAACTCTATGGGAATAGAAAGCCTCATTTTTCTCCCACAGAGCTACTGGTGGTTTCAAACTGCTGACCTTGTGGTTAGCCCACTACACACACCACCAAGGTTTCCTGAATAAGTGGAATATGGAGTCCGGAATCGGGGTTGTCTTTCTTAGTCCTACGTGTCATTAAGCCAGTCATCCCAGCTACTCCACCGCGCTAGCAAAGAATTTTCTCTCGAGGAGTTGCCAAGGGAAACACGATCATAACACGTTTCGCTCGGGGATGAGGGGCGTTGCATTGGAGGGGAGCCACGCATCAAAAAGCTCACCACCGATGGTTTGTTTGCAATAAGGCAACCCGTAAGGGTCGAAGCTATGTAAACAATGAGATTTTCCCGATATCCTGGCTTTTTGGAAAATTAAAGGTCCAACACGTTGTTTCTACGACCCCGTCACGTGTCAACCACGACCCCTCCGACCCAAACAATAACAACCCCTGGGGCTCGCTGCGCACCCGGCCCAGGACGTTGCGCCCCTGCCGAATGCCGGTTTCGGGGTGCGCGAGCTGACCCTGAGGGAGACGATATCCGCGTACTGCTGATTCACAGCCACAGCAAGGACTAAGTTGTCATGGGAGCGGGGTCACCCTGGAGGGTCTCGAAGGTCACCGTGCTGAGAACGCCCGAGCAGCAGGCGCACCTGCCAGTCAGGCGCATCCGCGGACAGCCACGGCGCTCGAGGACCCCGGCGGCGGCGGCGCGGCGCGGCGGGAAAGAGGAAGTTTCAAAGCCGAGGCGGCGGGCTCGCTGGTCGCCGTCCGGCGGGATGAAGTTGCACTGCGAGGTCGAGGTGGTCAGTCGGCATCTGCCCGCCTTGGGACTGCGGAACCGGGGCAAAGGCGTTCGGGCCGTGCTGAATCTCTGCCAGCAAGCGCCCGAAAGTGTGCCGCGCTCCCGGTTCCGGGACGAGGTGGGCGGTTCGCACGCTGCCTGCCTGCTCGTCTCCACGCTGAAGGACAAGCGCGGGACCCGCTACGAGGTGCGTGGGGCGGACAGGCCGTGTCCGGGGACGTGGACCCCCCTGAGCAGCGGCACGCGGCGCTTCCCACGCCAGCGTCCGCTCTTGTGAGCGGCGGGCCCTTGAGCCCCGTCACCACCGCTGGCTGAGGTTCGGGTCTTTTGCAAACTTGAGAGCACATTTCGTGTTTTTTTATTTTCATTTTTGCACCACCACCAGCCTTTTTCTTTTGATTACTGTTTTTTACAGTCAGGGTTTTTCGTATCTGCAGAGTAGTAGTAAATCGTTTCGACTGGCAGTTGAAAGTTGAAGTCGAATTTTTTAAAGCACAACGATTTATAAAATCTCCAAGTATCATTCCCTTTGGACGTGTTGTCCGGAAAGACGAGTTCCTGAAGAAGGACGTCATGCTTGGTAGAGGGGACCCGAAAGAGAGCAAGGCCTTCCACGAGGTGGATTGACACAGTGGCTGCAACAGTGGGCTACAGCATGGGAACAACTGTGAGGATGTCGCAGGGCGGGCAGTGTTTCATTCTGTTGTACCGGCCCAGTGACACCTAACAACAACAGCAATAACGTCAGGCACTAATTTATTTTGTGAAAATAATTCGAATGCCCTTGTAAAGACTGAAAATAAAACAGGGCAATTCATGATTTGCTCTACATCTGATTGTTGACTTGTTTTATACAACTATAGTGTTACATGTCGCACTGAATATTCATTGGGGAAAGGCAGTGTTAGACTCTCATTTAGAATCAATGTTTGTAAGTAAAAGTATAAAGATTTTCCTCTGAACATGGAATGTATTTATATAACGTTTTGAGAGAAAAGGACTTTATACACCACCCAACATACTCTAGATTGAAAGCTTTTAAGCGACAGAACAAACTGGCATCTAGAATTGGGTCTTTGTAACCATTTGTTGGATCAATTCAAATGGTATTGGTGTTGGACCTTGTAGTTATTAGTGCTGAAAGTGTGGAGTGCTTTGGGACTCTTAAACTGACTCTAGTTTCCATTCATCTATGACTCCCAAATCGGCAACTTCTCTTCCATAATTTCAGAACTTTTATCTGCTCCTTCCTCAAAAACTTCACCTGGATGTGTTGCAGTATTTCAAATTCATTATCTAAACAGTACTTTTAATTGCCACTCCTAAAACAGCTTTTCTGCAGCGTTCTGCAACTCTGAAACCAGGTTGCCTCCATCCAGAACCCTGAAAGTCCTTCCTGTCTCCCACATCTATATAATTGAATCTTGTAACTTTACCTCTTAAATCTCCAGCTTTCCATTTGTCCCAGTGTCAGCTTACCTAATAAGCAAGGTAAACTGAGTTTACTTGCTAATTTGTAGTGCACGGTTTCACAAGGTTTTCCCATGTGAAACTATTCGCCACAGATTAGCAAGTAAACCCTTACTTATTGGGCAATCCACCTATGGTCCCAGCTAAGTCACTGTCATTCCTTACCTGATTGGTTTCTTTTTTTTTTTTTTTTTGGTTCTTCAACATTTTAATAAAGTCTTGTGTAGCACATCTGCCTAATGAAATATGTTGTTTGATTTATTGACTGTTGAATCCATGAGCATTAACTTTGGATCCAAACAAAATGGAAGCCTTGGCAACCTGATTAGTTTCTTATGGGCTCTTCTGGCCACCAATGTCTTTCCTCATCCCATTTTCGGCTCCTCCAAAGTTCATTCTTTTCGAAGAAGCTCAGGGGGCTGTATGTTATCCACCTTAAAATTTTCGATGGATTTCATTGTTCTTAGGATAAATTTTTTTTTAATGTAACAGTTTACAAATTCTTTCACCATTTGGGGTCTACCTCTCAAGGCTCCTCTGCTTTTGTTTTCATTTGGACCCTTCTTTCATACTGAACTTTCAGCTTCCCTCTTGCCTAACACCTAATTCTTCATTTATCACCTTTAGATCACCTGTGTGCCCCTAGACTAGGTTACATTCTCTTGCTATGTAACTTTTGCTGTTAAGGTGCCATCAAACCGGTTCTTGCTCATAGCTACCCTTTGTACAACAATGAAACACTTGCCAGGTCTTGTACCATCCTCACAGTTGTTAGGTTTGTGCCTATTGTTGCAGCCACTGTGTCATCCATCTTGTCATAGGTCCAAAGCAGAGCCAACATCAGTCATTAAAATATTTTTAGACAGCAGTTCTAGCTCTGGGGAAACAGTGGTGAATCATGAGGACAACCTCCTGTTTTCCAGGAGTCTCTAATCTAGTGTGAGGTATGCCCATCCCAGACTGATCAACTGATATTCTAAAGGCAAAGTACTAGAGGAGGAGAGGAGAGGATCCGCTTAGCAAAGCTGTTTCCCAAACACTGGTGTGCCCAGAAGGGGAAAGGGCTACAAGTCAGAGAACAAAAACATTCACTAACTACTCAACTGCTAAACAAACTATCTATCAAAAGCCAAACCAAAGGGTAGGAAAGTGACAGGCACTTTCTGGTACTATTGAATAGCACTACATTTTGTCTTTTTTCACCATTTATTTTAATCAGCTAAAGGAGAACATCGAACAATTCTTCACCAAATTTGTGGATGAGGGGAAAGCCACAGTTCGGTTAAAGGAGCCTCTTGTGGATATCTGCATAAGTAAGGTATGGTATTTACACTAGGTTTATCAGATGTGTCATTTGGACACATTTTTATTTCCTCAATGAAAATTACAGAAACCATTTATGTTTATCTCCTGCCATTTATGCTGACTTTTCATTCTTTTAACGAGACAAATATATATCCAAATTCTTTTTCTTTTTTTTATCATTTTATTGGGGACTCATACAACTCTTGTCACAATTCATACATACATCAATTGTGTAAAGCACATTTGTACATTCATTGCCCTCATCATTCTCAAAACATTTGCTGTTCTCCACCCAAGCCCCTGACATCAGCTCCTCATTTTCCCTCCTTCCCACCTCCATGAACCCTTGATCATTTATAAATTATTATTTTGTCATGTCTTACACTGTCCAACGTCTCCCTTCACCCACTTTTCTGTTGTCCATCCCCCAGGGAGGAGTTTATATATAGATCCTTGTAATCAGTTCCCCCTTTCCACCCTACCCTCCCTCCACCCAAATTCTTTTTCATCTAAGCCTTCTAATCTCGAAATTCTGTGTGGTATACCTATCTATATGGATTTGTGTCAATTTGATGTGGCCATAAATTGAGTATTAATCACACTAAATTGGTTTCATTCATGAAAGCATTGCTTCAGTATAAATGTAAGTAGTCAAAAAGCTCTTAGAAAGTAAATAACGAACTGATTATAAGGAACTATATGTGACCTCCTCCCTGGGGGACGGACAGCAGAAAAGTGGGTGAAGGGAGACGTCGGACAGGGCAAGATATGACAAAGTAATAATTTATAAATTATCAAGGGCTCATGAAGGAGGGGGAACGGGGAGGGAGGGGGAAAATGAGGACCTAATGCTGGGGGCTTAAGTGGAGAGGAAATGTTTTGAGAATGATGAGGGCAATGAATGTACAAATGCGCTTTACACAATTGATGTGTGTATGGATTGTGATAGAGTTTGAGCCCCTAATAAAATGATTTTTTTAAAAAGAAAATAAATATCAAATGTAAAGACAAACAATGCAGCAGAGATTGTCACCCTGAACAACCTGAGCGACTCTTACTTCAAATCCACTATCTCAAATGTTGTATTATGTTAAATATGATGTTTTATGTAGTTATATATCACATAGCTTCATTTATAATGGCATATAATTATGTTGTTTTGAAGTAAGTCATTTTTTAAAGACAATGTACAGTTTTGTTCACTTGTCAGTTTGATGGTGTCGATAGAGATAGGTATATAAGAAATGTCCCAGTAAACCAAATGTTAAAAATGTTCATGGTCAGCTGTTTTAATGTATTTTCTCTAAAGAAGTTTGTTTGAGCATAGTGGTATCCCACATAGCCAAATGTGTAGGTAACCCTTAAGAGCTGATGGCACAAGAACCATCTTTCCAGAGAAAGTGTGATTATATGTCTTCCAGAAGATACCCAGGAAAAGAAGGGAAACTGCTAAGTATGCTTCTGTGCCCTAAATGGAGACTTAAGGGTCTTCTAAGACTCTGGTATGTGATAAGGCGGTGGCATAGTTTTATTTTGCAAGCAAACCACAGGTTACAAATCCTACGTTTGATGTTAAATAAGTGGAGTAAAATGCATCTTTTGTTGTTGCTATTTTTTTGTTTTACTGTATGTATTTGCATGCATTTATTATCATTTTTAAAAATATATGAGCCATTTAAAAAATGTTTTTCTATCTCCCCTTTCAACCTTGCATTGTTCTTAACTCCAAACAGTGTTTTGCAAAAAGAAATGTTTTGCAAACATTAAATTACATTGAAATGTAGTTAAATAAAAATACTAAAAAAAATTTTAGTATCAATAAATGTGAGTAGCAAATGCTTATATCGCTTTGCAGTAGAATGTAACTGCAGATTTTTTATTGAAAGACTGAGCATGCACAGATCTGAAATGAAATATACAATTGCCCGATTTATTTTTATTCAGGCTAATTCCAGCAGTTTAAAGGGTTTCCTTTCGGCTGTAAGACTGGCTCATCGGGGCTGTGATATTGAGACACCCCTTTCAACCCTCACACCAGTCAAGACTTCAGATTTTGAAAAACTTAAAACGAAGATGGTCATCACTTCCAAAAAGGATTATCCTTTAAGCACGAACTTCCCATATTCTCTGGAACATCTTCAAACATCTTATTGTGGACTTTCCCGAGTTGATATGCGTATGCTTTGCTTAAAAAACCTTAGGAAATTAGACTTGAGCCATAACCATATAAAAATGCTTCCCGATACAATTGGAGACCTCATCCACCTTCAAGACCTTAACCTTAGTGACAATCATTTGGAGTCCTTTAGGGTAACCTTGTGTCAGTCTACACTCCAGCAGTCTCTTCGTAGTTTGGATCTCAGCAAGAACAAAATTAAGGCACTCCCTGTGCAATTTTGCCAACTCCGAGAAATTACAGACTTAAAACTTGACGACAATGAACTGATTAGACTACCTTTCAAGATAGGACAGCTGAAAAACCTGCGTTCTTTGTCAGCAGCTCGAAATAAGCTTCCATTTTTACCTAGTGAATTTAAAAATTTATCCCTTGAGTACTTGGATCTTTTTGGAAATACATTTGAAAAACCAGAACTCCTACCTATCATAAAACTGCAAGTACCTCTAACTTTATTGGAAGCTTCTGCACGAACCGTACTACAAAAAAGGTAAGATGTTAATAGTTGTAAAATATAGTACCTTTGGTGATAACATATTAAAAGCAATATTCAAAGTCCTTAACATTGCTTAACAGTGGTGTACACCTTCTGACCCCTTGCTGATCCTCTTTGACCCCTTGCTTTTCCTTACCTCTACTTTGTTAGAATGCTTCCCATCCAGAAATTCTAATACCCCACTCTCTCTCTTCTCTGCCCAAGTATCACCCCAGAAACCCTTATTTGGCCTCTGTATAGAGTTTCATTTCCTACCCTTTACACTGTCTTATTTTTTTGTAAGAGGACTTATTTGTTAGCATTACATTTTTCAAAATGTTTGTTACTGGTTTTCCTCTACTAGAATGTAGTATCCTTAAGGCATGAACTTTCTGTTGTACACTATTTCCCTAGGGCCCAAAATGTGTCATCCCCTGTTCATAGCATATATTAGGCAATCCATAAATACTTGAATGAATTGAATGACCCTAGTGATTTGTTTCTCAAAGTCTATTCCATGAACTAGTAAAATTAGCAACATTTAGGAACTTGTTAGAGGTGCCAGTTCTTGGGCTGCTTGACCTACTGAATCCGAACACTTGATCTGGGATCCGGCTGTTTTTTAAAAGTGCTCCAGGTGCTTCTGCTGTGCCCTAAAGATAAAAGTATAGGCCTAGTAAAACGAGTGTGGGCTTTGGAGTCAAACTTGGCTTTGTGCACCCTTACTGTGTTATATGACTTTAGTAGGTTATTTAACCTCGCCGGTTCAATTTCATCATCTGTGAAATAGGAATACTAATACCACTTTCCAGAGTTTTTATGCGCATCAGTGAACTAATGGACACCAAGCATTTGGCGTGAAGTAGGACTTGGTAGCTATTCCCTTGAGTGGGAAGGAGCTTTTAAAAAAAAAAACAGACAAAAGTTTTGAACACAGAAAAATGTGCACATGAATACACCAAATTTTGCTTTAGACTTGATGCTTATGCATCCACTGAAGCCAAATTCACTCCTTCCTACTAACAATCCTAAGGTTAACAACTCTTACTCTGAAATAGTGACTAATTGCATTAAACCTTCGCACTTAGAACTAGCTAAGTTCTTTTTGAAAATTATGATGATCAGTTCCTACTGCAAACTAAATCAGAATATCTGGAGGGTATGAATGGGATTTGCTTTTAACACCCCAGGACATTCTACTATACAGCTAACCAGGATTGGGAGTCACAGCTTTACACCCTGCTTCTCAAACTTTATGACCACCTGGGTAGGAAGTCTGCCTTTCTAACAAGCTTCCATCTGAGGCTAAGGCTACTAGGCTCACTGACCACACATACTAAACCCAGAATACTCCAGATTCACTGCCATTGAGTGGATTCCAGTTCCTAATGGCCGTAGAGGACATAGGAGAATGCTCCTTTCGATAACCCAGACTTGAAGTCTTTATAGGAGCCTCATCTTTTCCCCTTGGGATGGCAGATGAGAGCAAACTGCTGCTGGCCGGTGGTTAGTAACTTGATGAGCAGCCACCATGCTACCAGGGTCAAAAATCATTAAGGACTCGCTGTTTTTTAAGTCAGTGATTCTCAAACTTGAGAGTAGATCAGAATCAAGACATATTAAACCAAATGCTTATCTACTTCCTTTACCTGGAGACAAGGAGAGTTAGTGCCAGACTACCATTACTGAATATTTTGATCAGATTCTGATGAAGAATCCTGAGGAAATGGGACAAAATGCAGAACAGCATTTCAAATCTTCATTGATTGTTTTTGGGGCCACAGAGGGTGGATAAACCCCTCAAACTATTGTCCCCAAGTAGTTTTTCAACTTTAAAAATATTGCTTGAAATCTTAAAATCAAACAGTAATGTAGTTTAAGTAGTAAAGAATACCTGCCTTGAACGTGATGCATTTTTAAGATTTTTTTATATGGCATCAGGTGGACAACAGGAACTCGATAGATAGGAAGATAGGAACCGAAGAGGGCAATGAATTGGGTTAATGAAGGAACATCTCAGAAAAGGAGTGTGAGAATGGTTGCAGGACTCGAAGGATGCAATCAATGTTGCTGAATTGTACATGTGCAAGTTTGAATTGGTGCATGTTTTGCTTTGTATGTTATTAACAAAATAAATTATTTTTTTTAAAAACAAACCCAATGCTTGTTAAAACAAATTAGTGCCACCACCACCACCCTTTGACTAAGTTTGGAGTAGGGGACAGTCACAGAAAATGCAGGTCTTAACAAATTCCCAGGTTATATTGATGTAGCTAGTTAGAACAGCAGATATAAGGCATTGATTCTTAATTAACAGGCAATTCTTAACTCTTAGTTGACAATGCATGTAAGTTCCTAGACAGTGCTTGGCTTATAAAAGGTCTCAATAAATATTAGATGTATAAGTTAATTTGCTGGCACTTAAAAATCAAGGGAATGCTGTTCTCATTAGCTGTGGAAAAACCTTAAATAAAATTTATAGATGCTTATATCCCACAGACTAATTAATTTAGAATCCCCAGGATGGGTAAAACTATAGCTATGAAATCTGTAGAGATGATACTGATAATTCAGGTGACACCACTTATTTGTAGGAACTATAAATGGCGTCTTGGCACTTTATTCTAGAGCAGTGGTTCTCAACCCCTTTGGGGGTTGAACGACTCGAGTTTTCACAGGGGTCGCCCGATTCATAACTAGCAAAATGACAGTTATGAAGTAGCAACAAAAATAATTTTATGGTTGTGGGGGTTACCGCAACATGAGGAACTATATTAAAGGGTCATGGTATTAGGAAGTTTGAGAACTGTTCTAGAGACTCTGGCTTTATGCTTTTCTGGGTCTTACATATGAAAGAAACATAATGCTTATTCAAATTTGGAAGCTGTTCAAATGAGAAATCACTTTTTTTCTATTCATTGCGATCCTTTTAACACATTTAATGGGACCTCTTACAGATAAAACCATCACCAAGCTGTATTGTACAATTGCAACCACAATCAGTTACAAAACATTTTTCTTTCTTCTTGATCTCCATTATCCCCTCCCACTCCCACTCCCATCCCACCCCTGAAATAACATCTTTTTTTTCTTCATAGTTTTCTTAGGCCAACTGCGTTCCTTTTCCCCAGCTTTATTTGTGGCCCAAACACAATTAAGATTTAGTGAAGTGGTTCCCCCAAATTTGGGTATCTAAATATTCTTTTATAGCATTAAGACTATATCATAGACACTATGGTTGTATTTAGCACTCAATATTTTAAAAAATATAATCATATCTATTTTATTTATTGAAATAACATCTTTTAAGGACTTGAAAAGACAAGGACAAATTGACTAAATGGTCAGATTAAAAACCAACTGAAATCTGACAGGAAAATGTGGAGTTGGAAAGAAATAAAATAGATGAGCAAAGTGTGATGTGAATAATTGTCAGAGCTGAATTTGGCAGAAAAACTATCTGGTACTGCCAGTGGCTTGATAGGTATCTTTTCTGAATTTTCTGACAGTTTTAACCTAGTTTAATAAAGCTACATTTGTATTTGTTGAAAAATATCTAAGCGCCTACTGTGTGTCAGACAGAGCTAGAGACTATGGAAACAGCAGAACAAAACTGTATGGGAGACAGACAATGTCTAGGGTCTGGCTGTATTTGCAGAGGCAGCAGTGAACACTGGGCAGGAAGTCTGAAGAGATGGGGTCTTAGCGTCTCAGAAGGTAGCAAAAGGTTGTTTTTTTTTTTAATCATTTTATTAGGGGCTCATACAACTCTTATCACAATCCATACACACATCAATTGTGTAAAGCGCATTTGTACATCATTCTCAAAACATTTTCTCTCCACTTAAACCCCCGGCATTAGGTCCTCATTTTTCCCCTCCCTCCCCGCGCCCCCCTCCCTCATGAGCCCTTGATAGTTTATAAATTGTTATTTTGTCATATCTTGCCCTGTCCGACATTTTTTTAAAAATATTTTATTGAGGGCTCGTACATTTTTTATCACAGTCCATACATAAATCCACTGAGTCAAGCACCTATGTACACCTGTTGCCCTCATCAATCTCAAAACATTTGCTCTCCACTTTAGCCCTCAATATCGTTTGCTCATTTTCCCCCCTCCCTCCTCCCCGGTTGAGTTGATTTTTATTGTATTTCACCAATCACTGAAAGGTTTTAGGCAGGGAGGTACAATGATATAAGCTTACTTTGCTCAGCCAGTAAAGTAAAACTAGTAGCTCGAAAAGCATGTGCTTCAAATTTCTTTTCACACAGTACAAAACGTTCTCCCAAAACCATTGATGCCTAGATTACATGGAATTACCTAAACAAGTTCCTTCACAGCTACAGTTTAGTAATTTTCCCATTACCAAGGCCTTGCCTTCATATTTTTAGAATTATGTGACATTTAAATTATGTTACAGTGCTCATGCAAGATGATTCAAGAACAAATGACTTTTCCATTGTATTCGTTAGCTATGCTGAAAGATACTTTATGGAGTGATACAGACCTTAGATCCACAATATGAGAAGTAGTATGCTACTTTTAATTTTTCTTATTCTTACTAATCGAGAATGAACTCTGGTGGTGGTGTGAATACACATTGAGCTACTACCGTCAAGGTCAGTAGCTCAAAACCACTAGCTGCTCCGCTCATTGGGGCAGAAGAGGCTTTCTACCCCGGTAAGGAGTTACAGTCTTGGAAGCCCTCTGGGAGTAAGTCTAACCCTTCAGGGTCCTTTTAAGGTTCCCTCTGAGTTGGAATCAACTTGATGGCAGGGAGTTATTAGTCAAAATGATAAGAGTAACTTAATTTCATTGTTCCTAGGTTATAAATAAATATCTGAATACTTGTTCTAATAAGCGAAGTTCTAAATTTAATAACATTAAAAATTTTTTTCTCTCCCAATAGAATTCCATATGGACCTCAAAGCATTCCTTACCATCTTTGCCATGATTTGGATACTGCAAAAGTCTGTGTCTGTGGAAGATTCTGTCTAAACTCTTACATTCAAGCAACTACTACCATGAATCTACATTCTGTTGCTCACACTGTGGTCCTAGTAGATAACATGGGTGGTACTGAAGCATCTATTATCTCATACTTTTGTTCTCTAGCCTGTTATGTAAACTCCTCTGATATGTTAAAGTAATAGGGATTACCAAAAAGAAGAAATTTTGTAGTTGCAAATCAGTTTGGGACTAATTTCTGATTTCCCAGTGTTATAATTGGACAAAGGGGAGGGGAGGAATGTGTGTTATTTAACATTTTAAATCCTTTGATTAAAAAAGTTTAATTACAGTGAAACTTAAGGGTCATGATAAATTAACTTTATTAGTTTATTGCACATATGTGAATTTCAGCCTGCAGTTTCCGGGTGTGTTGTGGGGTTTTTCTTTTTACTGTAAAAAGGCACTGATCCCAGTCATTCTGGTCATAAATTTTTATCATCAGTGTTCTCCTTAAGCTTCAAAGAAAGTGAGTTTTCAAATGCAGATTCTGCATGATAGTGAAAATATTTGAAATAATATACTTTATAAGTATACCACTTCCCCATGGTTTGAGACCTATTATTATGGAATTTATATTCACCAAACATAAAGTAGGAGTAGCTGTGAACAGACTTAAGCGTTTACGAGCCTCATGTTGATCATCACATCTTTTTGTCACTTCTAAGTTTTCTGTTTTAGAGTTGGAACACGGTTTTGAGATTAGGTGGCAGAATATTACTTTTTACTGGTGACTGTTGTATTATATGAGGATTTAAAGATCCTTTTAGTGTTTATTTTTCTCACTAAGCATGTTTGTATTTAAAGACCAGCTAGAAGATTATGAAGACTTGAACTACAGCAGAAAGAATGGAAAACTGAGCCACTTTGAAAGAACCTTAGTGATCCATACAGCTGTTCCCTTCTGTTCGCTACCATTGTCCGAGTTTGAATTAGCCTCTTCACCACTACTGCCATGGCCTCATAACTGGTCTCTGGCAACAAAAGGATGAAGTTACTGGAGAAAACCTCCAACATTAGCATTGTGTCATTATTTTGGGTTTGGAGGTTGGGAGAAGACTATGTAGAACTATTTCTGAAAATTTATGTAACTATTGCCTTCTTCCTTTATTTCTCTAAAAGTCTTATTTGGGGCATTTTCCCCCCTTCCCCTCAAATGTTCAAATACTTCTGAGTAACTGTCTATGTTATGTTTATTAAACTCCATTTGTATGATACGAGTGATAGCTGGCCATGCTTCTTTTCAGAGCTGATCCTCTGAGATCTGGCACATTGTTTTAGAGCAGGGGTGGCAAACCTCTGAGACGGAGGAGCCAATACCGTCCCTCACAATTTAAAAATTATTTGAGAGCCATAAATGTACTTTTACAAATAAATCACCATTATCTGAAAATCCTTCGAATGAAACTATGATAGTTTTATTTTCAATTTTACTTGAGCCACATGTATTTTACCAAAAGAGCCACATTTGGCTGGAGAGTCAGTTTGCCAATCCCTAGTCCACGGGGATATTCAGGTGCATTGAAATTTGTATTGCTAGTGTGTTAGTGGTCAAATTTTTCTCCCCAAATCCTGTATCCTTAAGATGGTTTTCACTTAAAAATGTGTACATATGATGTATGTTAAATAGAAAGCTGCCTTTATCCTGTACCTTTATTCCAAATGCTTTATATACAGTGTCTTATATAATCGTTAGAAATCACTATAGAGAAAGAGGTACCATAAACCCAGATCAAAGATATCAAGCCCAGGCTCGATTCATTCACTTCTGGTCTCTAAAGACCAAGAATTTTAGAGGTACCCTAGGATTTCCTGAACTCAAAAATATTTCCAAGTTATCCATAAATATTAAGTTGCTTCACTAAAAAGGCTCTTTTAAGATCATTCTATTGAGATTATCATTATATGATTATAATATTCCAATTATTCTATATTTGGTCATTCTAAATCAGCCTCGGTAGGTTTGAGCCTTTCAACAGCTCTTATAGCAACCCATACATCAGTTGTATCAAGCATAGTTGTGCATATGTTGCCATCGTCATTTTCTAAATATATTTGAGCCCTTAATAATCAGCTCCTTTTTTTCCCTCCCTCCACCCCCACTCATGATCCCTTGATAAACTATAATTTTTTTTTCTCAAAACATTTCCTCTCCATTTAAGCCCCCGTAATAGTTCCTTGTAATCAGTTCCCTCTTTCCAACCCACTCTCCCTCGACCCTCCCAGTATCACCACTCACACCACTGGACCTGAAGGGATCATCCGCCCTGGATTCCCTGGATTTCCAGTTCCTATCTGTACCACTGTACATCCTCTGGTCTAGCCAGACTTGCAAGTAGAATTCAGATCATGATAGTGGGAGCGGGGAGGAAACATTTAGGAACTAGAGGAAAGTTGTATGTTTCAT